GACTCGCCCCTGAGAATACAGCCTCCCTGCCGTCTGTCCCTCCCTGAGCTGCTCGTTTTCTCACATGTCACAAACCTCACTCGCCCCAAGGCCAGGAGTCACTACGGGCATCCTCCTCACTGCACACTGCTCCTCGCTGCCACTCCTCCATGCCCTGGGGAAACCCTTCTGAGGCCCAGGCCATCAAGCTACAGACACCCTCTATCCCTCCTCACAGCTGTCATCAACTGACAGCGCTGTCAGTTCTCCTGATTCCCTGCAGATCCAGGCACCTGGCTCTTCTTCCAAAAGCCCTTCGGTAAGCTGGATGCCCTAAAGATCCAGGTGGTTCACACGTACACCTGCCTGTAAGCCAACAATGTCCCCTTCCACTCCAGGGCCTCTCCACAGACTGACACCAGGCAGAAATTCACACATCTCCCTCTCTCAACAGAGGCCCTGTACTTCAGGCTCTTCTGCTTCCCAACACCCCTGGTTTTTCAGCCTCTTGGGACCTCAAAGTCCTTGACATTCGTCCATTCAGATCTTTACTTCCTTCTTTATTCAGTGTCCATCCCGTGGCCCGGCGTGTCAAGCCCTTACCTACCGCAAGGATTGAAACACTCCTCCCCCCACTGTCCATTCACCCAACTCTAGCAAAAACGCCACCATCCACGTCTTGCTTTCCCAGCGTGAGCACACACTGCTGGGGAGGAAACAGACAGGCAGGCAGCAGACTGGCACAAGGTCTCCACCCGCGCCCTCAACACTGCCAAGCAACCTCCTTACGCTCCCTTAGTCAGCTCTCTCTCATTTTCCACATCAGTTATCAAAAAGTCTGTAAAAGTTCTGAAACCTTCTAATCCCCACTTGGAAACCTCCCTCTCACTCTCAGCAGAAGACCTCGTCTATTCAGAGAGAAAACTGCAGCTTTAAGCAAAGAATGCCCTGTCTTTCTGCCACAAAACAAACTTCCCTTCTTTCTCCAGAAGCAATGGAAAGAGGGCACCTCCCCCACCAGGGGCCAATCCCTCTACTTTTGCTCAGACTGTTATCTCCTTCCGCCTTTCAGCAGCTTCCATCCCACTCTCCAATCTGCGACCTGATGTCTCCTTCTCTACCAACACTGGACACTTGGCACTTAAACAAGTCTCTTCATCCTTTAAAAAACCACAAAAGCCTCCCTCTTCCTCAACCCCCACACCCCCACCTGCTACTGCTCGCTCTCTATGCTCGTTTTCACTTCCAAGCTACCAACATGCATCTTCTCTTACTCCCACTCACGCCAACCCACTGCAAAGTGAGTTCTGCACCAGCACACCCGTGACGCTCTCCTTCCACAGTCAGCAACAGCCTTCTTTTCGTTACATCTAACATCCACTCACACATGACCTCTGACCCCCATTTACACTCTGTTGACCACTGAGGCATTTGGAAAGAGGAACTGGTTGGGGCATAAGACTTTTTCCACCCCCCCAGAGACAGGGTCTTGCTCTGTCGCTCAGGCTGAGGTGCAGTGGTGCAATCACAGCTCACTGCAGTCTCGAACTCCTGGGCTCAAGCAATTCTCCTGCTTCAGCCTCCTGAGTTGGTCTACAGGCACATGCCATTGTGCCTAGCTTTTTTTTTCTTCTTCTTATAGACAGGGTCTTGGTATGTTGTCCAGGTTGGTCTCAAACCACTGGCCTCAAGCAATTCTCCCATCTCAGCCTCCTGAGTAGCTGTCGGGGGGACAGGGTAAAAAACAAAAGAAGGAGGGCCTCTGGAGGGAGTTGAAGGTTCTTCTCTATTTCTTCACCCTCAGGTCTATTTCTACATCATCAGTTTCAACAGCCAGGCCGTGGTACTGGATCACAGTGCTGAGTGTGGGAGCCATCGTTCTCTTGGAAATTATGTCTTTTGGAAGTCTAGCACAATTAAGTGTACAAATTCTAGAAACAGACAGGCCTAGACTCAAGTTCTAGCTCCACTACATATTAGCTGCATGTCTTTGAGCAATTTTTTAAATATCTCCGAGGCTGTTTTCTCATTTGTAAAATAAGAACAGTACCAGTATCTACTTCATTGAGTATGAAGATTAACAATATACTTAAAGCACTTAGCACAAAAGAAATGATGGCACATCCACCTGCTGGAACACTACTGCAGTCTTATAAATGATGGCATAAAAGTGTGCTTACCAGTGTTTACTGGCACAGAAAGATGTTCACAATGTTTAAGTGAACTGGCAGCATGCAAAATACTTATTTGTGTAAGTGGATAGAGAAAAACAGCACAGAAAGTTATCAGTGATTATTTCTGGCTAGTGAGCTTATAGGCATTATTTTATTGTTTTAGATTACTTGCACTTTCTATTTTTTCTACAACGAACATACATTACTTATATAAAATAAAAATGAAAAGGTTTCTATTGCAAAAGAGTACAGCACATAGTAAGCATCAATAACTAGCTGTTATGTTACTTTCTAGGAGCCTGCAGAGAAAAAAGCCAGGAGCTGGATGCCCTGAGAATGCCTCAACTGGCTCTCCACCACTGGAGAGAGAAGATATTGACAGCTTAGACTTGGGTGGGTAATTCTTTGCCAACATTAGCTCTCAGCCCTAGACTCATTTTAGCTCAGGTGAAAAGAACTCTGTACTCCACCCAGCTTTGGTCATCAGGAATCTGAATTAGGGAATCTCAAAGTAATAAAGCAAAGCATTTGTACAGCCTCATCCTCTGCCTGTTAACTTTGCTTGACAACCTCAGCAGAAGTGGAAGTCCCAAGACAGGATCAGGTGTTGGGATTCTGTGTCCCTGTTTGTCTTCTTTCTCTCAGGCTCACACACCTCTACATATCCTTTAACACAACTTTCAGAAAGAAGGCTCCAAACGCACCACGAAGATATCAAACCTGGTGTCACTACTAGAAACAGGAAAAGAGGGGCCAGGTGTGGTGGCTCACGCCTGTAATCCTAGCACTTTGGGAGGCCAAGGGAGGCGTTCAAGACCTGGGCAACATAGCGAGACCCCATCTCTATAAAAAATAGAAAAATTAGCCAGGTGGCATGTGCCTGTAGTCACAGCTGCTCCAGAGGCTGAAGCAAGAGGATCACTCAAGCCCAGGAGTTTAAGGTTGCAGTGAGCTATGATGACTCCACTGCACTCTAGCCTGAGCAACAGAGCAAGACCCTATCTCCAAAACAAAAGAAAAAAAAAAAAGTCTAGTTTGGGACCAGATGTGGAAGAGATGGTAAGAAGTAAAACTCAGATCTGCAACAAAATCATCTTGAAGGGGCTACAACCATCACAGCCAAGTAACATGTGGGATTGTAACTTGGAAAATGTTACTCTAAGGTATTTACTGACTTACAGGAAATCAACTAAGCCCATGAGAAGAGACAGAAATAAGAACCCAAAAGGAAAAGGGCAGGGAAGGAAGGGAAGAAGAGGTGTAGGAAAGACATGAGTTGCGGCATGAGCACTGGCCTATGAATCAGTTATCAGAAGTCCCACAGTATTTGCATTTTGGGACCAGAGGAATCAAGCAGCGGTGGGGAAAATGTCAGGGCAGGCAAGCATTGCTGTGCCGGCAAGGCAGTCCAGTTACTTTGTCATTTGGCCACATACAGCACCAAGTCAAGAGAAACAGGGTTTGCATTTCACTGACTTCAGGGTAAAAAATAAGTTCACCCTAGGAAAAAATAAATAAATGCAAATAATTCATGGAAATACGTATATTAACCTAGGACCTCTGAGGAAGTAATATACACCTAAGCACCTAGCCCAATGTTGGAGAAGCAGTAGGTGCCCAGTGGCAGTGGTAATGGGGAAAGACGGTGTGTGTACCTGTGCACGTGCATGTACGCACAGACAAATCTTCAAATGGGAACCAGGTGCAGAAAGGACAGGGTAATAATATCAAAAACTTGGGAGAGGCTTAAATGTCCACAGAGAAAAAATACTGTACAATCATTGCATAAATAATTATGCTGAGACTGAAGGAATAAGCTAGATACAGTCACATAGAAAGGTCTTGAAAAATACTGTAAAATGAAAGGGAACATTAGACAGCACTATTACATTGAAATCTAAATTATATATATTCTAACTGTATGTATGTGAATGTAAATGCAAAGAAAAAGGATTTAAAGGACATGCACCAAATTTTAGCAATGGTTGCTTTCAGCCAGAACCACCACCTAAATGAGAAGGCCTAAGGAAGACTCCTGGTTTCTACTCCATATTTGGTCTTTAGCATTGTTTCTTTTATTTTTTACAATAATGTGTTATATTACTTGTATAATTTTTAAAATACAACATTTTCATCTAATAAAAGATGAAGAAACAAAATATGATTGTATTTTATTCTCTGCCTTTCTTTCCAAAAAATTTATTTTTCTATGATTTACTTTTTAATACAAGCTGTATAGTCCCACAAATTCAAGTCAGAATCCTGGTTAGACTTTGAAACCTTGAACAAGTTACTTAAAACTTTCTGCTTCCATTTTCCTCATCTGCAAAACTGTAACTAAAAGATACAACTTTTAGGATTGCTCTAACAATAATTAAAGCTTGACACCCCACCCACTACCTGCCTGGCACATGGCAGAAGGTCAGTAAGTATTAATTCCTGTCCTCTTATTCCTTCTCCCCCTACCAACAACCCCAAGTAGGCCAAATTATAATCATGGTCTCATCACAGTGATTTAGGTTGATAAAATGATTCATAAATTTCAATAGTAATATAATATTAACGTATTAAATAGTATCATGATAGAAAATAAGTGCAAGTATAGGGATTAAATGTTTACTTGAAAGATCTTAGTGATAATTTCTCCCTCGTTTTAAGATTTAAAAACCCACTGTTACACATAGATATAATCCTCTTAATCTGAATACATGCACTCTCTCAAAAAGTCACATCCGCAATTGTAAGAAAGGTGAACAAAGGGAGGGAGAAAGCAAAGGCAGAAGTCAGGGAAGTAGGACCCCAATTCCAAGACTACTCAACACAGGCATATATAACAAAGGGACCTACTTTGGTGGTGATCCTATACGTGATGTAGGTCTCCATCGTACACACGTGCTTCTTGGGATCGTCAACCGTGACAAAGAGATCTCTGGTCTCACCATCGATGTCATCATCAAGTTGAAGTCTGTTGAGAAGGGAAGACGAAGAAGCTGGACTTGAAGTGCCTGCTGGAGTTCCACCGTTCGGCAAAATGAGATCCTAAAAGAAGAAAAGAGTTACCGTACAAATGAAATGGAAACACACACCTGGAGAGTATCAGCAAAGGCAACTGGTTTAGCCAAACTACGAAACACCTCTAAATTACAGAAATCACTTTCAAAAAATCTGAGCCTCTCCTTACTCAGTGTTTCCTGAGTGAACAGATCTTTTGTGACCAAGAGAAACAAACTATGGCAATGCTCTGGATCAAATTCGTGCCAATTCATCTTTCAGGAAGTGCTGGAGGAACCAACACAAGCAGATAGTTCAGGGACAGCGAACACAAGAGCCCCACCATTGTAAGAACTCAACAGAGAACGTACTCTGAGCACACTATATACTCTTGTTTTTCCCACTTTCTCAAGACCACCCCACACCTGGGCCCAGGCAAACGTTAAGGGGACTGAATCCTCTTAAATACTTAACACATAAAAACTCAATCAGCCATCACAACAGGAAAACTAAACATTATGTGCCACCTAAAAGAAGTTCACACTGCCATCTATGAAGTATACTTACCAAAAAAATCAAATATGAATCCTAAACATGCCTCTAAATACAACACCAATTTATAGGAAATACAGAGAAGTGAGGAACATGTTCAATGATACTATAAGGATACAATTAGCAAAATCCACACTAGGTGAAACTATTAAGAACCAGAGATCCAGCTTCTCCAATAAACAAATTGCAAGAAAAAAAAAAAGAGAAGGAGCACCTAAGGATGTAAAGAAACTTAGGAGATCAACCAATTGCATTAAAACAAAATGTAAAGATTTTGAGATGTTCAGGGAAATTTAAATATTGATGATATTAAGGAATCATTAGGTGTGATAATGGAAGTATTATGATTTTCCAAAGTCTTCATCTTTTAGAACTATATACTAAAATACTTATAGATGAAATGATAAGATGTCTGGCATTTGCTTCAGAATAATTAAGAACAGGTGGGTGGGGCTATAAATGATGCAAGATGTTCAAAGTTGGTTTTTTTTTTTTTGGAGACAGAGTCTCATTCTGTTGCCCGGGCTAGAGTGCTGTGGCGTCAGCCTAGCTCACAGCAACCTCAAACTCCTGGGCTCAAGCGATCCTCCTGCCTCAGCCTCCCAAGTAGCTGGGACTACAGGCATGCGCCACCATGCCTGGCTTCTATTTTTAGTAGAGACAGGGTCTCACTCTTGCTCAGGCTGGCAGAGTTGGTAATTGTTGAAGCTGGTACTTGCAGCTTCATCATACAATTCTCTCCTCTGTTGTATATGCTTAAAATTTCCCTCAATAAAAAAGTTTTAAAGGCGGAGGGGAAATGGTTGGGGGAACAAATACCAGGAAGCAAAGATTGAAAAATTACATTGCTGAGGAACAAAAAGAAAGAAATAGAAAAATGACAGAACTCTCTCTTTTTAGGCCTTAGTAGGAAGCCACCTAAATAAATTATGTCCCTACAATATTCAAAAATGGCTGTGAAATTGAAAGGGCCCAGTCTTACAGTTACATTTCTTGGTTTTAAGAAACCAGATAACAGAATAGAGCCCTGCCTAGCAGATGTGAAAGCCTCTGAACATCACCTTGGAATCACTGGGAGACAAAGACTAAGGAATATGGTAAGAGACAGGACACCATGGAAAGGGCCTTGATGACCTGTGGGTCACCGGATCACACACTGGAAACAGGGAGGTGCTTTCCCCATATTCTCTCTTCTTGGAGCTCTGCAGGCTGGATGTGGCCCAGCCCCCAGATGAGAGAACACACAGGACACCAGAGGTCAACCTAGCAGTCATATCCATGAGCTCCAGCCGATCACGGGGCTTGTGGGAAGAGGGAGGGGACAAGGCAGAGGGAAGCATGGCCTGGGGTCAAGGGCAATGTCACCAGCTTGGTGGGTGATGGAAAGTACCATTCAGCTCAAGTACCAGAAAAGGCACCTTCCTTTGTCTCCCATCTGCACTGACCACAGATCATTTAATCACATACTTATGCGACATGAAAAGTTTTTCTAATTACTAAAAGGGCACCATTTTTACAGAAGGTACTCATGGGAATGGAATCACCCCCCACGCACACTTCTCAGCTATGCTTCTGACCACAGGGCAGGTCCAGGAGCTCGTCAGTTGTGGCATCGCACCCTCAGCAGCTGCTCGTGGTGTGGACGTGACTGCAGAGACCAGCCACTCATCTGACTGCTGTCTCAGCTACTGGGACCACGGGGCATGTACCGTCCACACCCCAGTGTCTGGGGGTCTGAGAAGGGACATCCTCTTCTCTGGAACTCTAAGATAACCATCTTGTCTTGGTCATTTCAGTAAATATTAATATTTAACTCACTAACTGCCACACACACACAAAAAAAACAGAAACTTTTCCTCGAGGCTATAGTGTTTTATTACGAAAACAGAATAAAAACTTTGAGTGTAATTTAAAGGTAAACATACATAGAAAAATGAAAACTATTGACTTCTATTCATTTAATCCACATTTTTAGAATTAAATTGTCCATATTAACTGTAATAATAAGAACATCAACAAGTAAGATTTTATATATGCTTCACACAACCCTAGGGTCAAAACTAGGGTGAGTTGAATACAACTCTCACGGCAGTCAACTGTCAAACACTGATCTCAGGCAAGACACCATGACAGGCATTGCAGGGGCCCAACCATAGCATTTTATCAACGCTAGCACACTGACCTCAGAACAGCTCTGTCAGTGGCCAAACACTGCACAAAAGAAAGAAAGAATT